AACCGGTTTACGGCTTGTACCTCCAAATCCACATAATTCTTTGGGAAACGAAAAGTTCGAGCCTAACGACAAACACCTCGATCTGCGTGTGGTTTGGACTTGCAACAGATAGGTTGCGGACGTACCCCTCAGGTTGCTTGATAAACCGCATTGCGGTACCCGTTTTTCCAATGTTCATCTCAATCAGGATAATGGCTTCTCTTTTCTTAATTGAACTTTAATGAGCATATCATTAGGATATACCATTTCAGATTCCTCAATACACAAAACGTTAGCGCTGTGATACACTCCATTCATACTGTGTCACTTTAGAGCGAACAATGTCGCATTCGGTAAAGATGATGTCGTACCATGTTAGCATTTGGATAAATTCGGTGGCGAGATAAAACTCTCCTCTATTATCCAAGATAACAGTTTGTTTGAATATGGTCATGAATAAATTCAACACAAGCGTCTGCCTTTTAAAGTGACGCGGAAAACGCAAGGAACTGGTTCAGATATTTCATAACTATGACAACGTCGAATAGAAACGAAGAGAGAGATAGGGCAACCCTGATGAACACCGCATTTTGTGTTGAACTCAGGCGAAAAAGTACCGCATGCGCCGACTCGGCTTCAGCTATTATTGTAGAGGGATTATGCTACTAAAATAAACTTGAGGCACACCCTTCAGGGAGAGACAGGGCCAGAGTTTAGAGCGATCGACTGAGTGGAAAGCCGCTTTCAGATCCAGGAAGACAGAGATGGTGGATCTAAGAAAAGCATATCGATGCTCAAGAATTTGGCGAAGAGTGAAGACGTGGTCGATAAAACCTCGACCAGGTCCAAAAACAGCCTGATTCTCTAGCATGCATTGTTCACGTGCGGCAGACAATCGACGGAGTATAATACCAACGAGAAGTTTAAAGGTAATGTTGCTTAAACTAATTCGTGTGTGGTTTTCACAAGAGTATCTGTCATCTTTTTTGTAAATCGGTATGATCACCGCTTCACACCATTCTGTTGGAACCTGTTCCGTTTCCGACATTGAGCTCAGGAGTTTTGTTAACTCCAAAACCAAAGTTGACCGCCCCATCCTTAAAAACCGATGGGGACAGCCCGTCGGGGTCGGAAGCCCTGTACCTTTTGAGATACCGTATTTTCCGAGAAACCTCCATTTCTGATGGATGGAGGAATGATATCTAGTGGCAGTAGTTGCCAAGCTGAACCAGATATTGGGAGATTTTGTGTCGACGGGGACAACAAGTGGGAAAATCAGATAGTCACGAAATACACCGAACTGTGGATAGATCACCCATCAGAAACGGTCTAGTTTCAGACTGAGTTCCGGTGGGGAATTTTGAGAAACGTGAAAAACAGTAAGTAAAAAGCGAGGGGGGGGGGAAGAGAGTGAACGAAAAAACTGCGGGACATGAACAGGGTCACAGAACTTTTTGTTTTTCTGCATGTCTCATTATTGCAAACAATTTCAAATTTGTCAGAATCGCTCCGGGCAAAGCTGAAATAGCTTACTTACCTCTTCGCGTAGCACGAAATTCTCTTCTTCTAATTCCCGCAATTTCTGATGCAGCTGTGAAAAATTGACTGAGGCCAGGGAAAATCCTTCAGTACTGTCCGAACTGAGTGAAGACAAAAAAAACAGAAAAATGACATGGTAATTCGTTTGCTTCTCTTTTGTGTGTGTCACACGAGCCTGATTTTATCTTTGAGTGACTAGCTTCTTTCTTCCTTGGCCAGATGAAAAAAATTGAGGAAGTACTAGGTTGAGAATACAGCACAACAAGCAACAATTTCGGTAGCACTAGGTCTTTGCAGTCGAGGACAAATCAGTTTCAACCCAGGTGACTACCATTGACTACTTGCGACTGTTTATTTGATGTGGTGGTAATGCCCACCGGTTCACGATTAACCGCCTCAATGGCTGTTCCCTTAATCCCGACTTGGAGATGGACTGCGTAGCGCACAACTAACTTCTTTATCTCTTGATCTTCTAATAATAACATGCGATCTCAATACCGAGTATGGCAACCGGCAAGTAATGGGTTCCGGGATAGGGAAGCACATAGAACAAATGTGATACTGAGGCGGAAGTGATATCAGTTGGAATGGTGTAAGTGTGTGCATGCTGACAACAAGCAATTCGCGTAAATAAGATTCTCGGAAAATCCCACATAACTGATGGGCTGGGCTAGTACGACTAGGCGAATCGTCACCCAATANAAGCCCAGCCACAAATACTAACCGTTGAAGAGCAGCAGTACCACGAGGCGGTCATTAAAAAACATGAAGTCATCCGAACCGGTTTTGCCACGAGTTCCTGTTTCTGTAATGCACTTGTAACTCCGTGAACCTACACCATGACTGGACACGATAAGAATCCGCAAAAAGCCATTAACCAGGTCACAGTCGGAGGGNGGGGATGAGGGGTTAGGATTGATAAACTTTAAAAAAAAACGAGAAGTGAAGCAGAGTGAACATTCCACGCCGTAACGGCTTCATCCGTCGAACACATGTACGGGAACCAGTAATAGCGAGGAGAAAAACGTTGAAAGAGTTGTAAGTGATGGAATCGGAAACTGTGCAGGCTCGTATCGAAATGAGTAGCAGTCGGATTAGGGATCGGAGAAGGAAATCTCACGCTGTAACGTGCCTCCGTCCACTTTTTGCACAGGTCTATCGTCTCCCATTTGCATACGAATGCAGATCAAAGTCATTGTTTCTAATGCCCCAGATAGGTGTTTCGACCGTTCCAGTGATGGATTAGCTCATCCAATTTAAGAGATCTACTCGCATTGACAAATCCACGGAAACCCCATTCGGACACATTGGTTTACCCAACCAATCATCGTCGACTGGAGAACAAGTTGGCTCCATGAACATCCTAATGAAGCACTAAATTTCTCGGGAAACGCTATATATATATATATATATATATATACGGTCCCATCAGTGGTTTGTAATAGTAGTTGATCACCCTTTCCCCGCTGCCCCAGGAGATTACTGATACAGTGTCCAATGCTCACCTCCCCCCCTTTCATACATGCATACATCAGTTACGGCAGGGGTTAGTGATTTCCAGATCATGCCATTTCGTCCCCACGACGACAACAATGATTCCATATATGCAGCGTTATACCATGGTTTCACCATGGTTACGCATGTAACTATCGATCCAATTGTGTTCACACCTTGTATCAATGATGTTGACAATTCGTTTGTTACACTGATCTACGTCAAATGAACTTGGATACACATGTGGAGCGTGCACCTTTACCGATAAGACCACAGTATGGATCCCGACGGAAGATATAATACAGTGAGCGAAGTGAAAACACACACACAGGGACGGATTCGGAATGAATGCTCACAAGTACCAAAACTGGAGAGTAGCAGTAGATGGGGTCAGAACTAACAGGCCCAATCGCAACGGACAAGCGATCCAAATTGACCAATGCGGACCAACCAAGATGCCGCTCGCTCCCAAGTTCATTTACATTGATCCAGTTAAGTGTACCACACAGACAATTGATCATCGTAGGTCACACGGAGCAGACCAGGGCCTGCAATCATTCGGACCAACTGATGATGATGACTGATTGGCGGAGTGCGGCCGATCTGACTTATTCCGCGAACTGTTGTTGTAGTTCAACAACGAGACCCTGGAGAAAGCCCGTGTATGTGTGTATGTTTGGATAAGACAAAAGCTGACACAGCCAGCAAGTTTATGCGTGCTGTGACCTGTGAATGCATTCAGGAAGGAGGGGGGGGGGAGAATATTTGATGAATAGGTCCGTTTGCCCACGATGACTGAGTTGAAGAAAAGAAATCGCTTCCGATAGGTCATCAGTGGTTAGTCTGGGGGTGATCATACA